GTGTAATTTGGCCTATTAACATAACTATTATGCTATTGATTCAATTAGGTCAGATTCATTTGCACTGTATGTTTGATGTCCTATTTCATCTACTGATTCAGTTATGTGCACTGTGTATTTATGCTTTAATGTATTATATTCATTTAGACGAGATACCCAATAGGTGCTGCAAAGTGTAAAGAAAGATTTATGTTTGCCTGAAAATAAATCTTTTGATTAATTTATAATACAGGGCTGAGTTTGGACAGGAGTATTACAATTTTCTAAATTATAATCAAAAAAAATCTATAACATGCAGGTTTTGATTTAAAAGCTGACAAGTTGCGTTAAAGTTACTAATGAATATTGCCTTTGTTATTCTGTAAACCTAGAAAATTAGTTTCTCTAACTTTTCACCTCTTTAATAAACTGAGATGAAATAATTTCTTACTGAAAAGAAATGCTTAAAGGGAAACTATAGTGCCAGGAAAACAAACTCATTTTCCTGGAACTATAGCTTCCCCTTTCATCAAGACCCACCCCCATGGCGTAAAAGGGTTTAATAACCTCTTCTGTCACTTACCTGGGTCCAGCGCCAATGTCCCTCGCTGCTAGCTCAGCTCCGCCCATGCTCTTTTCCTGCCGCTGGCCACGCGCGCATTAGGATCTCCCCATAGGAAAGCATTATTCAGTGCTTTCCTATGGGGATTCCGGCAATGCTGGAAGTCCTCATGCATAGCGTGAGGATGTCCAGCATCGTTTAGCTGACAAAAAGTCATCTAAGTGCCTGGAAGTTCCTCTAGTGGCTGTTTGCTAGAAGTGTTCTGGTTGCCTACACTGTTCCTTTACAGTGTATGTGTCATGGTATGCATAGGTTGGGCTTAAGTTAAAGAACAATATATTTCATCTATACATTGTGCTAACAAAAATGATAGCAAATGGGTACATTTTAACTGAATATTCTTTAAAGCTTTGATCCCTCCCCTGCTCGCAATATATATATTAAAGAGAGGGGTGTCTGCTGAACCTCAATGACAACATCCAAAAAGGATCAAAAGATTGTCTGGAGTTGTTTTATCTCTCGTGTTGAAAGATCCTGCCACCATCTAAGTTCTAAGTAACTGCCATTGTTTATATGATCAATTTTGAACCCTTGACATTGGTTCCCTCTTTAATGACACAAGTGAGATAGAACTTATTTTAGACCTAGGCAGTGATTAAAGAAGGACAAGTTATGCTAGTTGTATATTATCTAGTGTCTTTGGTCACCGTATATCAATATCATATATTCTGTTTTATTTCATTTTAACTGTGGCTAGGTTCTTCATAAATCAAAACATTTCCTAGGCATGGACACCTTACTCCCTATGGCTACAAGGTTCACTTGGCCCACCCCTGCATTTCCCATCTACATGAATAAAAGGTGTGTTTTGCTCATGTGCACTTAATCTATGAACATCTCAGCAACTTGTACTCAAGTCTATTTTGGTCAAAAATTTGACATTTGATTTTCGGTTTAGCACAGAAGCTAACCCATGGGGTTTAGTATAGTAAACAGCGACTCATAGTGAACTGATAACCATTACGATTTCCGAAAGATAGTTAGAAGTATAACCAAACTTCAGAGTATCCTGCTAGACATGACCTAGATTTTGTGTTATTAACCCATAACTATGTTTGTGTTATTAACCCTTTAATGCTATTTGCATTTCTTTTAAGAAGAACAAAAGAATAGAAAAACTAATTTAGAAATAAATAAAATTAAAAAAAACTGAATATATTACATATTGTTACTATTGTTTCATTAAAAACAGTGCTATGGATTAATATTTTGTAGTAGCTATGGTGCAAGGACTACATGCTGCAGTGTTTCCCAGGTTTTGTTAACTTGTTTTATAGAGTGTTCTTAGAAAAAACATTATTCATCCAAAATATTTTATATGCCTAAGACTTTTGAATGTGCCCAATAGCAAATAAATAATTGGACAGCCTAAAAATATGAAAAGAATTGAGGGACTGCTTCCATATAGCCCCCCTTACATGATAATCACAACACTAAGATGTAGTGTGACTTTAACCATAATAATGTGAGTTACAAACTGTTTAGATTTTAAATTAATGCATGAAGTCACATACATGTTGAAGGCCAAAGCAATCCATTATACGCATGAGATTTATGGTGGTTGTGCTAGATATACATCATTCCACTGGTATGTGGAAAAGAAATATAATAAAAAATAAGCATCCTACTCTTCAGAAATATAGAGTGAAACAGTTCTCTTAGCAATGACAATTAAGATACACATAATACAAACATTATCATCAATGCATTTTGCATAGGACCTATCAAGTATCACAGCATTCTGTTCCCTATTTCTCCAGTTTAAAGAAAATTTAAATAGTTGTAACAATCATTAATTGTTCATTTTTAACGCATATTTTTTTCTAGTGCCTTTCCTATTGGTGTCTACATATTTTTTTAAGCCAAACTTTTCCTTACTGCAGCTCTTACATCATTGTATTTTCCTGTTCCATTTGGTTCTTTTTTTATTTGTGTTCACAAATGTCACTCCAAGTATATAATAAAGAAGTGAAAGCGTACATATTTTTGTCTGACAAATGTATTTCAGTGCTGTCAGAATGGAAGATTTTCAAAAACCATAATCAGCTTTCACTGTTTTCCTTATTGTTTAAGGAATAAGAAATCCTTCAGATTGTCAGTGCATCTTTTTTTCCCCCAAGTAATATTAATTTGCCTTATTTCGTTCATGTAATCAATGGCAAAATCATCCGGAATAAAAACAATAAAAAAAATAAAGAAAATTTGAGGAATAAGAAGAGGTGAAGATTTTGGCACTTTGCAGGCAAAAGTGACAAGTATGTACGTAGTGGGCATTGGATAGCATTCCCTTCATCCCCCATAAAGCCATAACTTACCCCTTCAAATAACGACAGACAACTTCAGCATTTATTAACACAACCAAATACTGTATAACTCCTTTAACATATAACGAAATAAATATCATAAATTAACATAAACAATTTGCATATAGTCATACAGTAACCAAAGAAACCGTCCTTGCCAATCCAACTTGCCCAAGGCTCTCACCTCCCCCCTCAGCATAATAAAAACATCTTCCTTTTCAGGGCTGAACCAAAGTGAGCTTAGTACAATCTGGATATAACGTCCAGACTCTACTAATCAAATGAGTGGAGCGCTAAAGGTATGAACTTACCCTAAAATAGGGTTAAATCTCAGATGTATATCAGTACATCTAAAGGAAACAAAAAATAAAACACAATATAGTGTAAATCCACAGGTGATAATGTATTTTGGTGATAATTCAAGTAGTCAAACTCATATTGATCAGAGCCTCAGAGGGACAGGCTCAATTCACTTGCACAGTAGTGTTGTATGGAGACACTGCACCCTTTTGCCTGGAATGGATTTCCTCAAAGGAGAGAGAAAGGGAGACTTCCTAGTGTATTAAGTTTCAACCAAAACAAAAAACACAGTGGTTATGGTTGTGCTCACCTTTTCCCGAGCCAATGAGAACCTGGCTCTGGATGATAGACCTGGGTACCTCTAGAGGGGGGCACCTGCCCTTCTTTAGCAGCGAGATGAAGTTAGAAGCTGATGGAACTTGGTTTAAAATACATACATTTATTGCAACTTTAAATATAAAAACAAAAGCATAGAATTAAATAAAAATGTCCAGTTGCTTCTATATAAGATAAAGAATGTATCAGTAATTAGCTCCAGTCCCGAGACGCGTTTCACCCACACTATGGGGGCTTTTTCCATCGGTATCCTCATTGTCTTCATGCTGATTTTTAAATATGCCGGTCCTCCCATCCCCTCCTCCAATCCGGATTTAGCTTCTTGTGAGGTCAATTTCCTCACCTTCCTTTCATCAGCGTGATCAGGATCACTTCTGCTCTCACTGCAGCCATCTTGCTTGTGGGCACATACCCTCAAGCAAAAAAAAAAAAGTGTCAGAACAGGTTGGTTCGCAGACACCCATCACCCTAAGTTAAATACATGCATTTTCCACCCTTTTAAATTGTGCTCAGCACATAATAGAGAAAATGAATAAAACAGAGAAAAGAGGAAGGAAAAAACATACATTGGTACATATTAGTATCTTCTCATACAGTTTCATACTTGTTCTTAAGAGTATCTATAGTAAATACATATACTGCAGAATGGATTTCTTCCCTATTCATTGTATATTGATTTCATTAATCATTGTCAATTAAAAGTTAAAGTGATATAATCAATACAAATTAATTACAGTTTCTGTAAATTTTGATATAAAATTAATATAAAGGCAATCTTCTTATATTACTTAAATTATTAACATTCTTAATAACGTCAATACTCAATGTGCAGAAAAGTGCATATATTTCATGATCAATATTAATTTCCAGTTTTTGTACTAGGGATGAAATCACTCCCCTAAGTGTGTAGTTAATTTCCAATAATTCTAATTAAAATTTAGTATTTAAAAGTTTAAAAAAGTAAAAAGAATAATTTCTTAAAGGGACAGATAGAGAGCAATTTTTAGATAAAATGGCATATCTCAAAGTCATTATTGAGGCCATCTGGAATTAGTGTGTTTAAGTTAACAATCCATTTAATCTCTACCTGTCCCATTTTTTTTTAATAAGATCATCCCCTCTCCAGTTTGTTTTAACCAGCTGGATACCAATAAAATTTAATTGTTTTGGATCCTGATTGTGATGTTGTTTAAAGCGCATAGACAAACTGTGTTTTTCAAAGCCATTTTTAATGTTCCTTATATGCTCCTGAATACGAACTTGGAGAGGCCTTGCTGTCCTTCCTATATATCCTAGCCCACAGGTACATACTATCAGGTATATGACTCTTTTTGAGTAGCATGTAATTAATTCCCTAATATTGTTTGCCGGGCGCTCCGAGAAGGGGATCCAAAAGCCTTGGGTCGATCGCCGTGCCTCCGCCCCGCCCCCCACTACATCCGGGGGGGGCACGGTCCACATCAGATGTCGCCACCCGGACAGCAGGGGCGGCAGAAGGAACGGAAGCTGCGCAGATCTCGCGCCACGTGGTCCAGGCGCGCGGCCCTGTTCAAGCCTCGGGCCCGGGCTGCAGATCCTGTACCGGGCCCGAGGAGGAGAGTTGGGGCACACAGAGCCCGAGGGAGGGTGCCCAGGAAGGGTGCCCATGGAGGGTGCCCATGAAGGGTGCCCAGGGAGCGTGCCCAGGGAGGGTGCCAATGTAGGGTGCCCATGGGGAGCCAGACCGCTGGGGAGGGGAACCTCACCGCCAGGCTGCTGGGGAAGGAGGAGGCCACCGTCTGCTGCAGCACCATTACCAGCCGTGAGGGCAGACATCCAGGATCCAGGACACCCACAGGCCGACAATACAGCAAGCCCAGCAACAGGAGAGGCAGAGAAACTTGTTGCTGGCCCGGCTCCTAATGGCACTGAGGTCAGTCTGATCTGTCACCGACCACTTCCACATCTCACACTCCCACATGTAGCATATAGCCAATCATGCATTATCCATCCCCCACTCATATATGTGCCCCTGTCCGCTAAGCTGTGCACTCTCCCTGGGGCCTGAAATGTGATAGCATAGGCAAACATGTTTTAACCTCTGACAACTTTAGAGGGTGCTCAAGCCAAATAAGTGTGCATTTTTTACAAGCTCTCTTATAATTTTCTATGAGTGTCAAATTCTTTATTAATAGAAAACAAAAAATGTAATCTAGTTTATTAACATGTGTGGTTTAAAGGACCACTTAGGGCACCCATACCTCTTAATCTTAATGTTTCCATTGCAGTGTTAACACAGCTCAAGTGGCTGAGGCACACAGCCACTAGAGGCACTTCCAAACTCGGTTCTCAATTAAATGCTGCTCCTTAAACAGTATTTGATTAGTGCAGTACTGCAATTTGCTTTGGGGAAGTATTGGATTAGCTGATATCATCAATATTGATGATCTCAGTCCAGGAGACAAAGTGGCCATTGTTAGAACAGCATGGAAAAGATAAAAAGGTTAGTAAAACGCACCCTTTGCAGGCACCTAGAGGGGGAGCGAATACCAACCGCTACACAAAATTAAAGTTCCTATTATTCATATGTTGCTGACAACCCATTATCACCTACTGTGATTTATGTGGTTTATGAGACAAGCACACGTTTCACCTGAGAATAGTGGAACCTTGCATAGCAGAGAAATATTGGTTTCAAGATAAGTTATTGATTTTCAGCACAGGGTAATTCCAATGAATATTTCCTGGCACTATAAACAAAAATGGTATAAAATATACAGTATCCTGTAAACCAAGGTGGTAGTTGTGTGTTTTACATGGGCAATCGGTATACAGATAACCAATAGCAAAAATTAAGATATTTTATCTATTAGATTAATTGTATATACTTCCCTTTGACTTTTCCTACTTCAAGTAAATACATTAGCGAAATACCTTTTTTTTTTTTTTTAATAATAATATTCAAGGCTACTCACTATTGTAAGAATTATTAAGAACTTATAAAGGATTTGCAGCTTGTAAACCCTCAGCTTGTATAATTTCCATTTGACTAAATATCATGAACACTCATAAATTCTCATTATTAGTTTTTCTATGCTAGAAAATGCAGTTCTTTACATAGTTAAAAATACTACACATGCTCTGTAATGGAATGATTGTGAATAGTTACCATCATATAATGTGTTGTACTCCCTACAATAGTCAGTACTCATCACAATATTCGCATTTGATTATAATTTGAAACATAGAAACATAGAATGTGACGGCAGATAAGAACCATTCGGCCCATCTAGTCTGCCCAATTTTCTAAATACTTTTGCAACATTACTTGAAAGTTTTTATATGAACAGGATCTCGCAAAATGTCATTATTCTTCCAATTTCATGACCTCACAGATAGGAAAACATATGGCTGATTTGATCATGGATACTTATAAAAATGCATCAAATAAAATGAAAATCCCGGCCTGACGTCTACATGTTACTGATTACAGCCAGAAAGTGTACATTTTTTATGAGCCTCACAGATAAAATCAGCAATGCAGTCCTCCTACTTGCAAGGACCAAGTAATGTTATCATAAACACTTTGTAAAAGCTCTGTTAAAAGCAATAAGACAGCTTCTCCCAGAAGATTGCTTTTTTTGGAAACTATGTTAATGGATATATGAAGATTCGTATTTTGCACATTTAATGGAACAGTGACGGTGAACAATGCAGACAAATTAGGCACATTGCTTCTTTTATTTTTTATTTTTTTTGCATAATGTCAGTTAATGTGAATTTTTTCAAAAGAAATACATTTTCTGCATTTTAAAGCTGTCTGCATATGAAGTTCAAGATGCAAAAATACTACAAAAAAGATATATATTTTGACATTTACAAATGAAAGACTATATTAAAGGATTTGCAGATTAAAATGAATATTCATTTAATCAATACCATGTTCTTGCTGAATAGTTAGCTAGCTGGACTCCTATGTTTTATATTTTGCCTGATCCACAAAGCCCAGGGAAGTTAATTCTAATTATTAACCATTACACCACCACTCATGGTCTGAGGTTATAGGAATGTCTAAACCCCAGGGCTCTCCTGGCCAAAGGTGGATATCTGCAAATCTCCACTTTGAAGGGATAATCATGGGAAACATTTCTTTTTCATTATTTCCTGTATTTGCAATAAGGAATTTTTGGTGTAGCCAGATCAGATGACAGCCAAATTGTACCTAAACATCAGGTTATTTATACCCCATCAGAAAGTTCTACAGTTCTGGGTTGTGTGTTTAATTGTTGCCATTTATTGTATGTTGCCAATTTGCTATTTCTTTTTTTGTTTGTTTGTTTTTTATGGTTTCATGGATTCTATGTCTTTCTGGCACTGAATAATTGGGAAAAGCACAGAGCAATGTTATCTTACAAACTGAAAACATTTTTTTTTCATTGGGGACATAACATCCAGTGTGTATAAAAGAATTATGTTCAAAATCAATTTATTCAGTAAACTGTAAGCTACATTTCAAATTTACAACATAATGTTTTATTACAAATGGAACTACAAGGTCTGGATATGTTAAAATCACGTAACCTACACGCAACATTTTGTCAGTGCATTAGAACATGCACCCACCAATGAAACAATGATCAAACAAGGTAACCATTAACATAACATAAGTAAGAACATTGTTTTGCCTTCTCTAAACCTACTAATTCATAGACCAAAATAGAGAGAAAGCTCTCATTTACATAAAAGAGACATAAAGGACTTCAGTTTGCTAAAGTAATTTAGGGGTGTTTAAGCAGTTCCCCTTAGTCCAGTTTTATTAACATCTTAGAAAATGCACTTTATTAAAACAGAATGCCCACCCTGGCTGTAAAATAACATATATGAAAAAAAATATGTTCTGGGGAAAAAAAACATTTCCCCCAGAAATGTTTCCATGTTGTGCAGGCCATCCATTCTCACATCCTTATCATTGACTTGTTTCTAACTACACTATGCTTTTTTGTACTTCACTTCACTTGAGGTTATTATGTTACAAAAAAATGTAAAAAAGGAAAAAAGCAATTTCTCCACACCATGGCTGGGCTTACTCAGCAGATTAAATTAAGTTCCTACTTTCTTATCTCTGGCATTGGTAGCAGAGGTGGGCAGTGGTGCTCAGTAGACCCCAGGTATTAACTGAAACTATTTAAAAACAGTTTGACTTCTTACAACAATGAAGGGGCGCCAGGTCACTCTTTACGGCCAGTGCATGGAATTATGGCTATACATCTGAAAATGTGCATTGTGTCCCTGTGTTTATTTTACACAGGACAAGCAAATTTAATGACACTCTTGTGCTGTATTTGCTGGTGACTGGTCTCTGGAGTTTCCATAAATTAGATATGAAATGACAAGACCAGGAAAGGATATTGTGCATGCATTTGGAGGCTGGTTATGGGATTACATGTGTGTAAAGTGGGTTGTTTGTGATGTAGTGTGTAAATAGGTCTGTTTGTTTTGTGTTTGTTTTTTATAATTTGCAGCTAGGGACTGCAGATAGTGAGTATAAGGGCTGTAGTTTGTGTGTATATGGGCTGTAAAGTATCTCTACAGGTGATACTCGAAAAATTAGAATATCGTGCAAAAGTTCATTTATTTCAGTAATGCAATGTAAAAGGGGAAACTAATATATGAGATAGACACATTACACGCAAATCAAGATAGTTCAAGCCGGGATTTGTCATAAGTGTGATGATTATGGCTTACAGCTCATGAAAACCCCAAATCCACATTGTGAAAAGGTGCAATATTCTAGGCTCTAGGCTCACAGTGTCCCACTCTAATTAGCTAAGTAAGCTGTAACACCTGCAAAGTGTTTCTGAGCCTTTAAATGGTCTCTCAGTCTGGTTCAGTAGGAATCACAATCATGGGGAAGACTGCTGACCTGACAGTTGTGCAGAAAACCATAATTGACACCCTCCATAAGGAGGCAAAGCCTCAAAAGGTAATTGCGAAGGAAGTTAGATGTTCCCAAAGTGCTGCATCAAAGCACATTAATAGAAAGCTATGTGAAAGGGAAAAGCGTGAAAGAAAAAGGTGCACAAGCAGCAGGGATGACCGCAACCTGGAGAGGATTGTCAGGCCATTCAAATGTGTTGGAGACTTTCACAAGGAGTGGACTGAGGCTGGAGTCATCAAGAGCCACCACACACAGACGGATCCTGGACATGGGCTTCAGATGTCATATTCCTCTTGTCAAGCCGCTCCTGAACAACAAACAACGTCAGAAGCGACTTACCTGGGCTAAAGAAAAACCGACCTGGTCTGTTGCTCAGTGGTCCAAAGTATTATTTTCTGATGAGAGCAACTTTTGCATCTCATTTGGAAACCAATGACGCAGAGTCTGGAGGAAGAATGGAGAGGCACACACTGCAAGATGCTTGAAGTGCAGTGTGAAGTTTCCACAGTCTATGTTGATTTGGGGAGCCATTTCATCTGCTGGTGTTGGTCCACTGAGCTTCATTAAGTCCAGGGTCAATGCAGCCGTCTACCAGGAGATTTTGGAGCACTTCATGCTTCCTTCCGCAGACAAGCTTTATGGGGATACTGACTTCATATTCCAGCAGGACTTTGCACCTGCCCACACTGCCAAAAGCCCCAAAGCCTGGTTCAATGACCGTGGGATTACTGTGCTTGATTGGCCAGCAAACTCACCTGACCTGAACCCCATAGAGAATCTATGGGGCATTGCCAA